TGTTTGAGAGAGCGTTTTTGGAGTTCTAAGAGAGACGGTCGTCCCTTCTTCTTCGTCATTGTCTCTGCTGCTATCTCCCCTCCCACTTGCTTTTTCTCCTTTATTTTTTTTCCCCATTGTTTTCATTTTTCCTTTTCTAAACAGCTTTTGGATTTTTTTTTATTATGTATGGTTTTCTTATAATATATATATATATAATTAAATAAAAAATATAAATTTAATTGAATGTAATAAAAAATAATTTTTTTAAAATTTTGGAAAATATATTTTTTTCATTGAAAGGACGATAGTGGGGATTCGCGGGGAATATTTCCAAGCATAATTTATTTGGCTTAATTATAGCAATTTATTTCCCTTTTACTGACCATGCATGCAATGTATACAAAGTTCAGCTATATGTACAGAAGAAACTGACCTTTGTGTAAAAGCGAGATTCCAATGGATCCTTTTTATGTTGCATTTCCCTTTAATTGAACAAAAGGAGAACAATACCTTCATTAATTAACAGAGTGTATGATTGGTGAACATGAGTTTAATTTATCATTTGATTTGATGGTAAATTATTATTGATTGATTTTTGACCTAATTTGCGTTTATCAAAAATTTTTTAAAAAAAATCTGTCGGTAATACATTTGAAAAAGAAATGGTTTTGATAAAAGATTCTTTCAACCAAAAAAAGAATATTGTTTTCTTGTATTAATTATTGAGAAGACAAGCTAAGTTTGTAATTATACTCTTAAAAACCAAATTAGCTAACATATTTTACTCTTAATTTTGAACCCATTTTCTGCAACATCGAGGTAAGTCTAGATTAATTATGAACATGATATTATATTTAATTAATGGGATGTTGTAGTAACAAGATTTTGGAAGGTTGGGGCATCCACAATTAGGGCCAAATTGATGAAATAAATACAGAGGCACACCCCCCCGGGTTCCTATGGAATGTGATGTGATTCAATGCTTGCGTGTGTTAATTTGAGGGATTAGTATTTCAACTTGCTATTAAATTTTTTGAGATAATATTTAGAAAAACATAAAAATAAAATTGTGTAACTACATGGACCTAATTTCATAACTTTTTTTTATAAAAATTTTTATTCGATATGTACTAGTGAAATTAAATATTTAAAAATTCACATATTTTTCAATCTGTAAGATACTTTTTGTGAAATAAAATCTTAAAGCTCTATAGAATAAAAACAGACAATATTTTTTAAGTTAATATGGATTGTGATAGTTGATATCAAAACAAAATAAATTCTTCATTGATGCAGAAGATTTTATAAACAATATTAAGATTTAGATAAATTTAAACCAATGTATAATCTCTCACATCTATTAATAAAAGAATCAGTGTAAGAAAAACTTTGTATAATTATATAAAATAAAATATTATATATCTCACATTAGTAAAATATGATGTGAATTATGAATTTATTAACAAAAATATTCTTTCACTTAATAATCATGTATTTTAGATCGAAATTATAAACTTATGACATCAAGTATCATCCCAGTCTTGTAATTCACCTAATTAAATTGTGCATGTATTAGTAGATTTTTAACTTGTAACATAGAAATGGCATGTCCATTGGTCATAAAAGACCGGAAACGTAGAAGGCAAAATAAGGTTCCAGTGTCCAAATACCAATGAGCATGTTCTATGACATTAAAATAGGGACTGGTGGCCAAAAACCAATTATTGCAATTATATATAAAATAATAGACAGATCATATAAAGGTTGGGCGTGGACGTATCTCTAGTCAGTAGCTCCTACGCCGCCCTTGCCAAATTAAGTTACAGTTTACAAGCCTCCAAAATGGTTGGCCGCTACTAATTAATAACCCTTTGTTATCCTCGTGTCCAATAAAACTAAAAGGCTACTCCTACTCTTATTATTTTTTATTATATTTAAAATAAATTATTATTTTAATTTAAACCAAAATAAACTTTTATTTGAATAAAAAATTAATCATCGATGAACAAGAACCCCAAATAGTAGACTAATTCAATTCAGCATGTAACAAAAAATTTATTACAGTTGGAGGAAATATCATATCAGTCCTTTCTCTTCACTCTTTTCTGTTGCAATAATTTCACAATAATTTCATTCATACTAATGTTCCAAACATTGATCGCCAGATTGGGCGTCCACCGGGCTTAATATTTGTAAGGCGGGTCCAAAAAATGTAAATTCCAAGTTAAGTAGAAACTATAAATAGAGATCAGTCAATCAGAACAAAGAGAAAGCTGGTAAAAAGTGAAATTGTTTTACCAGTCGAAAATAAAGTAAAAATTGCTGTACTAGCATTACCCTGTAAGGAGTTATTTACTATTGCCCTTCGAGTTTAATTTTAGTACTTAAACTATGGGAAGGCATGGTTTGCATCCATTTAGAGCAAACTTAGAATGAACATTTTAATTATCTCAAAATAGGAACATTTAGATACTTGGAACCCGTTTCCATGGCTAAATTTCATTATGGAAGAAGGCTATGACTTGATATTTTACCAAACCAAGTTGTCAACAAAAGTTAAAAAAAAAGAAAAAGAAAAGGTTTTGTGGTTATGAGAATAAAATCAAAAAGTCATGCCAGATTACGATCTAAACAGAGCAAAGACCATAAGCCTATTCTCTTATTTACAACATCAACTTTGTGTACCTTGAACGACCCCCAAATAATTCCAATTAACATCTCACTCACATACACATTTTCAACAAAAGCAAATAAACAGTGGGAATCATCAAGTTAACAAATTAACAGTCTGCTCCACTTTTCTATTTTTGAGCTTCTATATTTTCATGTTCCTGTTTTCAACTGAACAACTCAGAATATCTAAACATCGAGTCAGATGTCACATATAAATCTGTGGATTCTTTGTTTTCAACCTTTTGAAAAATTTTGATATATCAATCTGTACAAATTTTTCCTACCATCTGATCTTACGACTTCTTGAGGAACTCCTACTCAGTGAACCATCCAATGAAAAATGTGATAACTTCGGCTCCATATTTTCATTCATATACAGGCAAAGACCTAACACTGCAATTACCTTATGTCAAATCATATGGAAATAATGATGCCAATTATCAGAGTTGCAATGCTAAATCCGGGTGCTGGGGTGAACCAATTGGTACACTAGAACTAGGTGAACCTGGTGCCAGGAATCTCACATTAAGATCCGGGGGAAATGGAAGGATATCTTGTTGATTATAGGATTTCTGCAGAAGCCCAACATTAGTTGCTGCATGTGATGCCAGGTCAGGACCTACAGCCATTGTATTTCCAGAATGTGAAGTAGTTGAACTATCTGCAAACTTAGCCTCGTTTGAAAGAAAATCATTAGCAGGCATCGGGCACATGGCGGAGCTGCTACCTGAAACCATGCCATGTGTTTGAGAAGTCACTGAAGTCTTTTCAGACAAGAGATTCCCAGGCTGTGTTAGCAATCTCATTTGAGGAGGATAACCAATCCCAAATCCACCAATAGAACCATTGATACCCGAATGCAATAAAGGTCTCTGCTGAAACTGATGAGGAGGTGCAGACTTAATGTCACCAACTTTGCTATATAGTGAAGTAAAGTCATTTTGAGAACTTAGTCGCCTGACAGTTTCTGTGTCTTCTCTACCTTGCAAAGGAAATCTACTTCCAGCAATTGAGTTTGAACCTGAAGTAGCTGGAGGAGAAAAAAGCCTGCTAGAATGCTGATCAGAAAGAGAATTTGAAGATTTTTGCTTTTCAGAAAATGAAAGTTGTGGCTGCTCTATTGTCCTGTTTTCTCCTACCCATCCAGGACCAAACTTCAGTCCACTAGGCAAAACACTTTCAATTTTCTTTGAAGCAATTTTCCAAACAACAGGTCCAAGATCTGCAGCAAAACGTGCCAAGCTTGTAGCATAACCATTTTCTGCACTCAGACCAACCTGATACACATTGGAAAAGGAAAAATGAGAAGGTTTCCAATGGGTAAACATTTAATAATTGATATAGAAATTAACCAAGAAAATAAAATTGAGATAAAAACCATTAGTCAGTGAGATTGCCATGATTATATAAGGGATCAAGTAATATATTCTACCGATGTGATCCTGATTGTTTACTACCATCAGCCAATTATCCTCATTTTTTTCCTTTTTTCTTTGCAATCAATAATTGGTATGTCAGAATGTTCAAAGACCATTTTGGCATTATATATAAACATAAAAACGGGTCAAATTTACCAGCACAAATCTAGTTATTCTTACACCAGAATTCTTTACACCATTTATTATTCACAAAAGTAATATTAGGATTCTTTTATTTGTACTTGACAAATTTAAAGTTGATCAGACATTCCACCTATACAACTCATTAGATTAATCTTTTAACTAATGCATTAATGATTGCAGTATAAACACACACAAAACACACCGGAATCAGTTGCTTCAATTCTTCATCCAATGTGGAAAAGATAGGCTGCTCATGTCCACAAGTCGATGAAGGGTTGTAGGTGTCACGCTTGTTCTCATCTACTGGAAAATGTTTCTTCCCATACTTCATCACAGCCTTCACAACAGAAGCTGCAATGTGAGAGAAAATTAGCTCCATATGCATAAAAAATATACCAAACTAGATTTTACTTTAAAGAGTGTAGAATGAAGAATATATTTAATGTCAGACTGTTAAAGCCAAACCTGGAAATTCGTTCTCCCATTCAGATGACCAGCTGGCATGATTTTCATTGCTATGAGAACCCCAGGAGGGCCTGACTAATGTATCGGCAGGCCGGAGCTTATGTGAACTAGGTCCTTTCCTTAAATTGTAAGTGTTTGAAAGGCTGGAAGCATCTGGTCCTGTAGCTAGAGTTGCACCTGAAGAAAACTCAGAACCAACACGGTCCAAAGAAGATGACTCCAATGACTTTTTGAGGCTCTTTCCAGGTGGCCGTCCTCTCCTCACGACCTTTGGTTGTGGTTCACCCTCATCACTATCCTGCCTCAAATTCTCAAAGTCCTTTTTAGCCAGCTCTTGCATTGAACGTGCCTAACCAACCAGCCCAGATGATTAAAATGACAGAAACCAGAGTACCAAAACAAAGGAATTAATACAAATGGGGACCTAGCCAAACCTGTCGAAAGTAAATAGTATCTGGTGCATTATACTTCATTGCGTTCGAGCATATCAGAAGAACATCTTGCTGCAAGAATCAAAGTCACAAGTTTCAGATTCCAGTCGTAGCAACATCAAGTATCATATGCAGGAAACTGTTTTCGCTTAAAACAAAGTTTTGTCATTACAATGTTTATGAAATTAATGCTCTATCCTGACTGGTCAAGTCCAAAACATGCATATTGACTTGAAAATAATATCATCAGGATTTTAATCTTCCCAGTTAACCTCAGAAAGCAGCTCACAGCATATAAAGTTGTCCACTAGGAAATGAGGACATTGTTATGATCCCAAACTAAACAAAACAAGTTTTACTATCAAATTCCACAAATCC